GCAATGTTCATTTCCCCTCACAAATTGGTCTCTCTAATCCCACCCACCTCTAATGTTCATTATCACATCATAACAGAACGTCCATTAGACCAGCTGTTCAAAAGCCTAGATGACTTCTTTGTGTCCTCTGATTCTCAGTTTCTATAACTAAAGGATCAGTAAGTCTTATAGGCTCCATGTTTAAACATATCCCAAGCCCCTCATCTTTCCATCTCCCTTGTTACTAATTTTGTCTATCATTTTTTGTCTGGACTATTTCAAGTGCCAAATCATATTACGTCACTTTCTTGCTTAAGACCCTTCAATGGCTTCCCATTCTTAGAATAAAGCCCAAACTCCTTACTAGGGCCCATGAGGTTGTCTTCAGTCACTCCTCATACGACTCTTCCCTTATTACAATCCAGCCAGACTGGCTGTCCCTCCACTTTTTAAATGTAACACATGCTTTCCTGCCTCAGGGCCTTTGCATATGCTATTCCCTCAGCCTATAACTTTTTTACACCCTGGTTTCCACAGCTGGTTTCTTCTCCAGCTTTAGATCTTAAGTACAACTTTTGTACCCCTTCACCCCAAATTATTCAATATCTATTGAATAAAGTGAATGAATCCATTATATTTTTATTACCTTCCAAGCAATTATGACACATTCATTATCTTGCTTATTTGTTAGTTTCCCTGTTATCATGCATTTCTCCCCACTAGCATATGTTAGGGCTGATACCTCCTCTGTACTATTCATTACTGGACCCCAGGACCCAGGGCAGTGCTTGGCACATGGCAGGGGCACAGTGAATTTCTACTGAAGGAATCAGTGGGTGAGTACCCAGAAGCTTCAGGTCCCAGACTCCTCAGTGCACTCATGGAAGATGATGATTAGAGCTCTTCTGGCTCTGACTTTTAAAGATGCCCCAGACTCTGCGCCAGCAAAATGTCAATGCACAGCGGGCCACTGGAAATTCCTCGAGTCACTCAGGGGGCCATTACTGTCCTAGTGCCTCTCTGACCACAATAGGCCTTCTTTGGCGGAAAGATACTGATTTCTTCAATGTCAGCACTAGAAGGGAGCTTAAAGATGGTCAAAGCACCATCTCTTCACTTGACAAGTGAGGGATGCACCCTCTAACTTTGTCATCCACTGACCAATGTCACTTGCCACTGAGATACATCAAAAGTTACAGGGTGGTGAACTGAACACACAGTACAACATACAGCCAATGAATTATAGAATTATACTCCTGAAATCTATAATTTCATTAACCAATGTCACCTCCATAAATTCAACAAAAGGTGAAACCGAATATAAAAATAAAATAAAATTTTTAAAAGTTGCAGAGGATAGGATCCATCTTGCTGAGAGTGTTAAGCCACCTTGTACCACTGGGGCGAGGATCCCGCCAGTCTCCCGGGCCTGGTTGTAGTGGCCTGGCACTCAGTCAGAAGCTGTGGTCGTGGCCTGTACTTTCTGCCGGTAGAAAGGAAGCGATTGTACCATGTGGTTTTCACAGTAAGCCCTGAGGTTGGCAGCAAAACGAGTTTGTGATGATACTTTCTTACACCTAATATCAAAGGGGGAATTAAGTTATCTGGAAAAGTTCACACCTTCTTAATTTAAAATAGACAGGGCTCAGTGCTAAGCTTTTGTTCTCCATCAGTGTAGAGAAGAAAAAGTGTGAAATCGAGTTGTCAAACATTATGAGAAAGAAGAAATAAGAGACTAAAAGGAAAGAAAAGAGACAGAAGGATGAATGGAAAAGGAGGAAGGAGAAGTTGAAAGTAAAAACTGTCAGATGAGACTAATTTGAAATCCCAAGGTCAAGGAAGGAGGGAGGTTCCTCTGGGGCTGTGCGTCTGTGAGTTTGATAGCGTGCAAATTCCATCCTCTCTCTGGTCCTTTGTCAAATGAACAGAGTGGAATAAACGTTCTAGAAGTAATTCCTAGAGTCCTCTTTATTTGTCACTTTTTGATTCAAAACCACAGATAGATCCCCAATACACTCGAGGGCCTGCTCTGACATCCTTTCAGATATGCGACAATGGGTTCAAAACCAGTCCTGGTGGTTTTTGATGGCTGATGAGCCAGAGTGACAGCATGAGCGCCACTTCCCTTAGGCAATCAGCAAGGCATGGCAAAGTTCCTGATGACCCTGAGAGCCACCACACTTCTTTTTAGAGCCTACAGTTCACAACACGTAGGATTAAAAGCTGTAATGAAACCCCTTACATTTGTATACATGCCTTTTGAAGCTTGTAAAGTGCTTTCACCTATTTTATTTCATGTAAGTCTCACAATAAACATGGAAGGCATTGTTCTTCTCAGATTACCAATGAGGAAGCTAAGACACTGAGAGACAAGGGACTTGCCCCAGGTCACCAGGGTGCCAGTCCGCCCCTGTTTGTTTTCCCCTGCTCTGCTTTGCATCAGAGAGACCGACATGTTCCAGGTGCCCTAACCTGTTGCTTTAAGGCCAGTTGGGCTGATGGGAGTCTCTGACAGGAAGTTGAGGGAGAGGAGGAGAGAAGCAGGCTCTGTCTTCTCTGTCTGTCTTCAGCGGCCTCTCCATCAGTGGCTTCATGTGCTCCGTGCCTTCGGCTCCTGCCAAATCCATGCCCTGATCTTGTAACACCACCTTCTCTTGTGTCCCTCCGGTGGTTTCTTCCTGCCGTTGCTAATCTCTGGTTCCTCACCATCCCATTTATAGCTTCTCAGTTCTTCTATCACCTGTGCATCCAGTTCCTTATATTACATTTCTGATGTGGAAAGACCTAGAGCAGTTTCTGTCTTCTTGGTTGGGCCCAGACTGCATCCCTGGGCTGGGAAATCAACTCTGTGAGGAGCTATAATCAGGGCAGAAACGATGTGAGACAGACTCGTGTATGCGTGTGTATGTATGTGTGTCCATATGTAAGAACCTTTCTCCCAGGAATCCAGCTGATATATCTTTGGATCTTGAGATGCCAGCACGGTGCCTGGCATGCAGGAGGCACCAGTAGATGTTTGCTGACCTAATATATTTATTTGGTAAAACAAACCAGGCCAGGGTGGCTGTGTAGTTTATCTCTAAGTTTATCGCCAAGTGTCTATGAGATATAAAGACAACAGGTCCTTCTGGTCTTTAAAATGTAGCAATGAGCCATTTGGCCACATTCTACAAAGCCACACAGGGAACTACATTCATTGAGATTTCTTTAGGATCTTTCTGATTTTGAATGATAGTAGTTATTTCAGATGGAAAGATATTAATGAGTTGAAACTTGGAAAAATAAACAATTTCCACACTCAGAGAGTAGGTGAAAATGGGATGGACAGCATGGGCAAACATGGGGGAAAAACATTCTTTAAATTGTGTTTTCTTATACTTATGCAGGCAGAGTTTAACAGAGTGTACCGTAGGCTGGGAAATCTGGGTGGTGAGGTCAGCTCTGCCACCAGCCATGTAGCCTTGGTCAGTTCATTTCTTGCTGGAGCATGACTCTTCTTAGGAGAATAGGTTAGGACACACAGAGAGGTACCAGGGATGTGTGTGCACAGAGGAGAACTCATGTGAAGTGGTGGAAGGAAGGTGGCCTCGGACAAAACCAGCCCTGCGGGCACCTTGACCTTGGATTTCCAGCCTCCACAACTGTGAGAAAATAAATATCTGTTATTGAAGGCACCTAGTCTGTGGCATTTTGTTATGGCAGCCCCACCAAACTAACATGGAGACTTATGTTGGATTCATTCATTCAACAAATATTTATGGAGCATCTATTATGTCCCAGGCACTGATTCTTGAAATAGGGCATAGAGTGCTGAGAAATCAAAGACCAAAAAAGGGCTTCTGCTCTCAGAAGCTTAGTCTAGTGGGAGAGATTGACAATCAAAAGATCACATGAGCAGTGTGGAAAGAGTGGGAAAGGGGTCCACACGCTCTGCAGGAGCACAGTGCTGCTGGGGGTTGGGGGATGATGGCAGAGGGATGTTTCATGGTAGGTACTGTTTTATTCTCAGCATGACTGCAGTGCCGTGCCCACAGCCAATACTCTGTAAATGTGGGCTGGCTTTAATGGAAGGCTCTGATCTCTCAATTTTCTATGTGGAATAACATGATTTCTTATATTCAAGGAAAGACAGCCCAAGGACAGATGCTAATAAGTGCCACAAAGCTGGGGCAGTGGGAAGGCCAATAGATGAGAAGGGAGAGGAAGTGGGTTCTCATCTCAGCCCCGCCACAAGCCCGTGGGGTGGTGACCTGATACAACGCCCTTCCCTTGTCTGGACCTCCATTTCCTCATCTTCAAAAATGAAGAGGTTGGAGGGGTTCATCTCTAAGATCTCGTCTAGCTCTGTGAAATCTCTTCCGAAGTCTAGTTCACGAAAGATTAATCTCAAAAGGAGGAAGAAAGAGACGGAGGGAGGCAGGGGAAGGGGAGAGAGGTGAAAGGCTCCCCCACTTTTTGTATGAGACCTTGGCCAAGAGTCTCAGTATCTTTTTTCTTGAAAAGTGAGGGGGTTAGTTATCTTTCATATTCATTCTGTTCCCAAAGATTCTATGCCTGTGAGTATTAGGGAACTCTTGGATCTTCTGTACCTGCGTGTTCATTAACTTCAACAGGAAGGCATCCCTGGGCCAAGAGTCTGCAGTAGATGTCATGGGGATCGGCGTCCGATCCCCACGCACAGCATTCAGTTACAAACACATAAACTGGTTTCTGCAAACAGGAAGTCTTAGAAACACAACCCTTTACTCACCACTTATTTTTCACTTAATAACTAGATCATCAACTAAGTCAATCCCCCCCCCCCCCCCGCCCCCCGAGAGAGACCATAGAAAACATACAAAATTAAGGATTGGTCTGCTGACATTTCCTGGAAAGAAAGATGTTACTTTCTTTTACCAAACTACTCACAGTGAGGAAAAGTTACCAGAAGTACCTTAAAAACCAAATTTTATTAGAATGGTTTGGGCAGGGAGTAGATCAATTAGAAGATAAAATTAAATTATCAATGTCCTACCATAGGGAAATGCTTAAGTTAATTTTATTACATCCATATGAAATTTTATGCAGCACTTAAAAAAGTATTTAAAAGATTATTTTACAACATGTGGAGATACAATATAATAAGTGAAAAAAAAGCAGGATACAAACCATAATTTAACATAATCTTAATTTTGTTAAACACACACTATACATCATACATATACATTAAAAAAGACCTGAAAAAATACTCCAAAATACTAACAGCAGTAATATCCAGAAGGAGGAAGTATGAGTGATTTTATTTGCTTCTTTATGCTATTTTACGTTTTCAAATTTCCAGCAATATGTATTCATTTCTTGGTTTAGTCATTCAGCAAAGATTTCTTGTGTCAACTATGAGCCAAGTATGTTGTAGGTGCTAGTGATAGAGGCAAATCTCAGCCCTCTGCAGCTTAGCCTCTAGTAAGTTGACCCAGATATGAAAGAAGAAAAATCAGTAAACAAACAAGAGGATGTGGATGGTATTATGTGCTCTGAACACATCCAATCAGGGTGATGGGAAGGGAATGAGTGGGGCCGTGCACCTGCCTTGCATGGATGGTCAGGGAGGGCAGCCCTGAGGAGGGGCCATTAGTCCTAAAACGGAAGGACATTCTCATCACAGGGAACGACCGGGATGCGTGGACCTGACACCCTGGGCACCACGGGTCTGGGAGGATGTTTGGCTTCTATTGTAGGCCAGTGGGAGCCACAGAAAGCTTTCTCATAGGAGTGACCAGGTGACACGCTGCTCAGACAGATGGCTCTGGCTGCAGGGTGCAGAGGGGCTCCTGGTGGTGGAGGCAGAGTAGAAGCAGGGAGACCTCTTATGAGACAAGTTTTTCTTTATAATTTGCCAATTCTGGGACATCAGTTTCCTCTACTGTAAAATGAGAGGCAGTTGGGCAAGGCCCATGATTTCTAAGAGCACTTCCAGGACTTAAACATTAAAATACACATTATTGTTGGGTACCTGTTGACCTGTCTTGTGAAAAATGTATAAGCTTCTAAACAAAGGGACCAAGCCTGTCTCTGCTTATCCCCAGCACATGGCCTCCCACCTGGAAGGCCCCCGTGACATACACAGTGCCTCAGGGGTCTGTGGGGAGGGGGAGTGTCGTTCTTGCAGTGGGTTTCCTCTGCGCTTCCTGCGAACTCACCTGCTGAGACCGTTGTCCTGAAGGCAATGGGGAGCCATGGAAGGCTCTTCGGCAAAGCTGACTTCTGCGTGTTAGCAAGTGCACGCGGGCGGTGCTGCAGGAGGTCTGGAGGGGGCCAGGTGCAGAAGCGGAGAGACAGAGAGACACCGAGTTTTACTAGAGAATCCCCCTGGGCTGTGGCTTTCCAAGTGAGCCCCCCTGGGAAAGCAGGGACCTGCCCCTGCCCATGGGGAAGGGCCACCTCGCAGGAGCCCACAGCACACAGGGAGACAGAGTTCGAGCTCCGCCTACTCAGAGTTGGGGAAATAAGGCACAAAGAGACCAAATGACTCATGTGCCAAGGATTTCTGACTTCAGGGCCTCCTCTCAGCTAATGTGAAAACCAGACTCTACTTAGCGTGTCATCCACGGAGCAGGAGGGCTGTGCCTGTGCTGTGCCTGTGCCAGATGGAAGGGAGCGTCAGGGTGGGGTGTGGAGGGGAGGGGGAAGCAAGTGTCCCGGGCAGAAACCGTGACCAATACTCCAGTACCTTCATTTGGACACTCCCTTAATCCAAGAAGGGCTAAAACTGGCCTCGGAGCTTGCCTTATGACAGCAGAGCGATCAGACAAAAGGAATAAGCCCGGTTGAGTCAGCCGGATGGTAATCCTTCTGGAGAGCATGCACGTCCAACGAAAATAGATCAGAGGCTCTTTCCCAAGACATGGCGCCTGGAGATGCTGGGACCATGTGAAGATGGGGAGGGACGGTGCCACCCCCCAGAGATGGGGAGGGAGCTGTCCCACAGAGTCAGGGCTGGGACTTGGACCCTGCTCTTCTCATTCGGAGGTCAGGGCTCATCTCACTCCTTCACAACTCAGTCTGGGTCCAACTCTTTATTTGCCAAACCTGTATTCAGGCACAACCGCAGGGGTCAGGTAAAGTGATTTCAAAGCCCCTTGTGTATATTGTGTGTTGCCATGTACACACACACACACACACACACACACACACACACACTGCTTTAGTTTGGCGAGGTCTTTTTTTTCCCCATTAAGTACTATGGACTATTAATATTACTTAAGTATCTGAATTCACCACCCCAATTCAAAGGCACAGTTCACAGAACCTAGAAGCAACTCTACTCCAACCCCTTTGTCATGCAGATGAGGACTGGGTCACGAAGGGCCAGTGCTCTTTCTAGACTGTGAAAGGAAAGCAGCATGCTGTAGTACACATGCCTTACTTTATTTAAAAAAATATTTTTATTGATGTCAGAGAGGAGGGGAGAAGGAGAGAGAGATAGAAACATAAATGATGAGAGAGAATCATTGATCAGCTGCCTCCTGCATGATCCCCACTGAGGATCAAGCTAACAACCTGGACATGTGCCCTTGGCCAGAATTGAACCCAGGACCCTTCAGTCTGCAGGCCAACCTTCTACCTATGAGCCAAACTGGCCAGGGCAGCCCATGCCTTACTTTCTGTTCTCAAGCACAGACTCTTGAAAGGAAGGGGGTAGACCAGGGGTGGGCAAACTTTTTGACTTGAGGACCACAATGGGTTCTTAAACTGGACCGGAGGGCCGGAACAAAAGCATGGATGGAGTGTTTGTGTGAACTAATATAAATTCAAAGTAAACATCATTACATAAAAGGGTACAGTCTTTTTTTTTTTTAGTTTTATTCATTTCAAATGGGCCGGATCTGGCCCGCGGGCCGTAGTTTGCCCACGGCTGGGGTAGAGAGCTAGACAATCTCCAGCTTATGGCCTTGGCAGGGACCTGACATCTTGGCACGCTAATCAGTGAATTTCTAAAGAAGAGCTTTACCTTCTTGGACAGTTTTTGCTATCATGGTCACAATCATCCATTAGATAAACATTTACTGAATGTCCACTCTGCTGGGTCTGTTATGTACTTTTAATCTCTTTTAATTTTCATAAGACTGTGATGCAGTGTATCGCTTCTTTTCTTTTCTTTCTTTCCAGAGAGAAATACAGAAATGTGTCCAGATCCTAGACTCAGGAAGGTGGCAGAGTTGGGATCTGACCTTCCACTCACTTCTATTATGCCAAGTGCTTTTGCTATGTGGTGATCTCGACTCCACTGTGGACATTATGTGGTTGGGAAGGGCAGGTCTCACAAGCCTAGAGGACTGTGGGGCCAGGTTTCTCAGACCCCACCCTTCCCTGGGCTGCTAAGCTCAGCAGTGAGCTCCCTGTTGCATCTGAGGTTTATAAGCCCCACCTAGAGGCTCAGGGTGGGATTCCTGGCAGCCAAGACCCACGGTGCTGGGCCTGGCTATGAAGAGGCCCAGAGCAGAGCAAAGATCATTCGCTGACCAGGACTGACCTTGAGGAGTTTGGTTGGTCCATAGCTCTGAAGGGAACACAGCAAGAGCGAATCCAAAGGATTGGACTCAGACCACAGAAGAGAAATAGAGCCTGGGACATAGTTTTAAAGAAAGTTTGCTGGAGGAAGCCCCTTGTGTTTTATGTGTACACACCTTTCGGAGCAGGCCCTGAGGATGTCCCACACAGGACAGGAATTTCCTCTAGTGTCCCCGATGACATTGTGTTTCTGCTTTAATGTGTCCAGGAACAGGAAGCTGGCGACCTTGCAGACGATTGTAATTTTTAGAAAGTCCCAGTATTCGTCTGCTACCTGTGCATTGGGTCCAGATCTGCCCTTTGGTTTGCAAAAGCTCAACGGGTTTCCTCCCAGCTGCACTCGGGATCATTTGAAGACAACTTTCACTTTTTATACCGGGGCCCCGCCAAGTGTGCTCAGCAGAGTCAGAAGTTTGCCCGCTGTGAATAGGTGTCCTCTCTAAAACAAACACATCAAAACAAACAGACAGAGGCCCGTAAACAGCATTCTGTGGGCATGCTAGGTGAAAGCGGGTCAACCAGGTAGGTTTCCTGCAAGACTGTTTGTTCGCAACTGTTACTACGCTGTGCAGAGCGTGAGCTCCGGCAGAAAGCACTGGGCGAGCAACGTTTCCCAAGTGTTTGACCTCCCACGCTTTTTATTTTTTCTCCCAGTGCTCCTTACTGTTTTCCATATAGACCATCAGAAATGCTGTTTGGAAAATGCTTCCCTACACAAATCCAGGTTCTCCCTAACATTGTCTCCAAGCTAAAAAACCAGGCTCCTTCAACTATTTATTTCAGGATCTTAGTTCCTGTTCTCTAGTAGGGCTATAAGATGAAAATACAGGATACCCCTTTAAATTGAATTTCAGATAAATGATCTTTTTTAGGGGGAAGAGGGGGTATAAGTATCTTCCATGTAATATTCAGAACATACCTACATGATAAGAGAACTCCTTGCTTATCTGAAATACAAATTGAACTGGAGGCCCTGTATTTTTATTTGCTAAATCTGGCAAGCCTAGAAGGGCCCAAATGCCCTTCTTCCCTGCAAAGACGTTTCCCTAAGAACTGGACACAGTAGCCCAGGGGTGGACTACGACTGAGACAGTTGATGACCTTGGGAGCCACCTTCAATTCCATTTTTTTCCGTCATGTTTTTAAAAAGAAAATAGTAATATTGTTATGAATGGTTAGTGGCCAGTCTGTGGTTGACAGGTACCAGATAGCTTTCCGAACACACTGGCTAACTCCAGAAACCAATTTTCCCTCCCTTACCCCTGCTCATCAGTATATTTAAGTTCCTCTGGTGTTAGTATTAGGGAGCTTGATCCAAACATCATTTATAATCCCCTTTATTGTCTGTCTTCTCCACTCGACTGTAAGAAGCTTCAAAAAATAGGGACCAACCATGTTTACCTTGGTCATGGTTGTACCTCTGGTAGCCGGCACAGGTGCCAGCATAGGTAAGTGTTCAAAGATCTTTGAATAAATGAATTAATGACTTAATCACACTCTGGAAAGCGAAGCAAACCAGATAAGCTGATGCTCTGAAAAGAAGAGCTTGCCAATGGGAGTTTTCCTCACGGTTGGGAGTTGTCATCTACCGCACGTTTTCCCAGACCCATTAAATCCTGCTCACCTGTGTTGAAGCCAATTCCGTTGGTAGATGCCTGTGCAAAACAAGAACATCTAATTGCTATGACTAAAATAAAACATTTCAACCAAACACGAGCCATTTTCCAGAAGCTGAAATACTTCTGGGAGCCTGCAATTTTTATCGAGGTGTGGAACTTGGCCCTTCGAAGCAGGCTGGCCTGTGCCCAGTGGGTGTGGGAGTGGGGCAGATCATGCCGGGTCTTCCCACAGAAACTTCCTGATCCAGAGGAATTAGGCAACGTGAACAAGGGCAGCCTCAGTGGCAGGGCAGGTATAGGAAGCAGGACACAGCATCCCATCACTCTGACCTGGTGAACGTGCATCTGGTGTCTGGCACGCGGGACCAGAAAGACTTGGAGTTTTTGCTCTAAGACATAGTGACGCTGCCGCCACCTAACATGAACTCACCCATGGTTGGGGCTTGTCAATATTGAAAGCATCCTGGGGACTGTCCCTGAGCAGGAGATTATCTGCAGCTTGGCAGCTGTGGCTTCAGTGCTGGGTGTGTGTGTGTATGGGGGTGGGGGGTGTTAACGCTGAATCTATATATATGTAAGGCTAATAATGCAAAGTGTCCCCTCGGGAGTTCAACCGCAGACCGCTTGCTATGATGTGTGCTGACCACCAGGGGGTGGCACAGAACGAAGGAAGGCCCCAGTCAGCAGCCAGCAGCTGGGGAAGGGAGTCCCCGGCCGGCATCTGGAAGGCCCCTATCAGCCCTGATCGCCAACCAGGCCTAGGGACCCTAGCCATACACGAATTTTGTGCACCAGGCCTCTGGTTTATTTATAAGATAAAATACAGAGAAGTACAGCAAGGAGAGCCCTGGGTTCCAGGAGGATAGCAGAGTGCAGTCTAACTTGTGTTGCTTCCTGAGGATAAGTATAAAGATCTATGTTCAAGGCCCAATCCATGCCCTTAGACAAGTCTTTTAACCTCAGTCTTTTTGTCTGTGAAATGGGAACAACCATGTTGACCTCAGATTTGTGAGGATTGGATAAGACAGCAGATATAAAAGCCCTCTGTGAATGGCCAAGAGCTGGATCAATACGAGAGAAGGTTACGACACAGTGTCCCCTTGAGCACAGTGCTC